AAACTGAATACACATTTTTCTCATCAGTACATGGAACATACTCCCAAATCAATCACATCATGGGACACAAATCTAACCTCAGCAAATTTAAAAGAATAGGAGTTATTCCATGCATCTTCTCAGACCATCATGGAATAAAAGTTGAACTCAGTAACAACAGGAATCTGCAGACTCATACAAAAACATGGAAGCTAAATAACCTTATGCTGAATGATAGATGGGTCAGAGACAAGATCAAGAAGGAAACCAAATTTATAGAAAAAAATGATAATGAAGACATGAGTTATCAGAACCTCTGGGACACTGCAAAGGCAGTCCTAAGAGGGAAAGTTATAGCATTGCAAGCTTTCCTCAAAAGAACAGAAAGAGAGGAAGTTAACAACTTAATGGGACATCTCAAGCAGCTGGAAAAGGAAGAACATCGCAATCCCAAATCCAGCAGAAGAAAAGAAATAACCAAAATTAGAGCAGAATTAAATGAGATTGAAAACAAAAGGATTGTAGAACAGATCAATAAATCAAAAAGTTGGTTTTTTGAAAATGTCAACAAAATAGATAAAACTTTGGCCAACCTAACTAAGAAAAAAAGAGTAAAATCTCTAATCTTGTTAATCAGAAATGGTAAAGATGAAATAACAACAGACCCTTTAGAAATTCAAAAAATCCTTAATGAATATCACAAGAAACTTTATTCAGAGAAATAATGACAATCTGAAGGAAATTGACCAATACTTGGAAGCATGCCACCTTCCAAGATTTAGCCAGAATGAAGTGGAAATGTTGAACGGGCCTACATCAAGTTCTGAAATAGCATCAACCATACAAATCTACCTGAAAAGAAAAGCCCAGGACCAGATGGCTTCATGTCAGAATTCTACCAAACCTTTAAAGAGGAACTAGTACCCATACTACTCAACCTTTTCCAAAATATAGACAAAGGAAAGAAATAGCTGAAAATGTTAACAAATGGAAAAACATACCATGCTCATGGCTGAGAAGAATCAACATTGTTAAAATGTCCATACTACCCAAAGCAATATGCAATTTTAATGCAATCCCTATTAAAGCCCCACTGTCATATTTTAAAGATTCTAGAAAAAATAATACTTTATTTTATATGGAATCAGAAAAAAACCTCAAATAGCAAAGACATTACTCAGAAATAAAAACAAAGCAGGAGGAATTACATTACCAGACCTCAGATCATACTATAAATCGATAGTGATCAAAACAGCATGGTACTGGCACAAAAACAGAGAGGTAGATGTATGGAACAGAATAGAGAACCAAGAGATGAA